TGTGCCTGTGATGGCGGCTCGGTTCGAGTCGTGCCCGGCGGCCTCGGCCGCGCTGGCCGGGGCTTTGGAGGGGGGTCGGCGGGTGGTGGGGCCAGGTCGGGCCATGGCTTCCTGGGCCCAGCTTTTGCCACTCAGCGGAGCCTCAGACAGCGCTGTGCTTGGGGAGCCCGCCAACAGGGCAATGTCTGTGGGCCTCGAAGTGGGGTGATGCAGAGGGGGAATGCTTTAAAGCGCTTTCCGCTGCCTGAAAGGTAGACATTAAAGCCCTTGTTTCAGTCCTGGTGCTAGTTGGGGGTCACTTCACCCGCTCGAGGTGCGTGTTTCCCCAGGGAGGGGAGAGCGGCAATGGTAGGACGGTATTAACGATGCACAGCACTTGAGTTCAGGGACAAGGAAAAGGTCTTGAGAACTCCTGCTTGGCTTGTTTTGTGTTTGTTTTGATGTACTGTGCTCTGTAATGAAGGTAGCGATGGTGGTAGTAGCTACAGTGACCTACGCTTGAGGTAGCTTGGCTTAAGCATAGGAAAGCTGGAAAGCATCTTGGTGAGAAACAATTATTATACGATAGTAGAGTGTTACCGACTTATCCAGGGACATGCTTTATGCTACTGGAAATATTACTTGCATGTTTTAAAAAGCAGCTGGAGCTGAAATCAAGCTGTCTTCTAGGAATGCTAAGTAGTGGCTTAATTACCAGATTTGGTTCCTTGTACAGGCCTTTGTAATGACTTGGGGCATTTTTGTTCGTGCAATTTCCTGAATATGGTTTCATTTAATGGATATGCTGTAACACCTGTGTCTCTGCTCTTCAGCAAGGTAAACCAGCGTCTGCTGAAAACTGGGGTGCTTTTCTTGCAAGGCAGTTGTTTGGGAAGGCCTGGTTGTGCAGGACCTGCTTCTGGTGGCTTCAAGGTGTAACTGTGTATGGAGTGTACTGGATGACTATGTAAATGTAACAAATTGCTTTTATTCCCAGGCATTAAGCTTCGTCCCTATCAAATAGAAGGTGTAAACTGGCTGGTGCAATGCTACGAAGTCCAGCGTGGCTGTATCCTGGGCGATGAGATGGGTCTCGGGAAGACTTGTCAGGTGCGTTTTCTTCTTCTTCTGGAAAATGATCTTTGCCTAATTTAGCCCAACGTTTTTGCAGAATGAAAAGAAAATCACCCTAATGATTGGTCAGTTAAGCAGCCCCATCCTGAAGTCCTTACTCAAAAGAGAGGGCTCATTGTTTCTTTTATTCCTTAATCACTTAAAACCCCTGTTAGGTCCTGAGTGACACTCCAAAAAGGTTTCAGGTTTTTGTAAAAAGATGAGTGGTCATTTTGCAGACATCTGAATGTGTAATTCATAGTGCTTAGAGTTGAAGGGACACAGCCAGTACAGAGAGGAGGATGTTGTTTTGATGCACCTGCAGCAAGATGATTTTTGGGTTTGTCAACATATGGATTAAAATTTACACGTGTAAATTTTTCAGTGTTGCTTTTGTTTTGGTAAGTTTTTAAATGGGTTTCAGTTTTGTTGGAAGATGAATGTTTGTGCTTTGGTTCAGCTGGTAGTATTCAGTGGCTCTTAAATAACAAACTGGTAGTTTTAGAAAGTGATGTATGGGAGGTCTTCTTTTTTGTGAGTGTGGGGAAAGGCCTTCAGAAAGGGGCTCCAGATATCGAGGTCCTGTTTTGTCATTGATGATGGATCTCACTTGACATTCTCTTAGCTCTGCTTTATGTTAGAGAACCTATGGGAACCAGATCAAGAGGGAGACAGTTTATGTAGGTTCAGGCTATTGGGTTTAACACTTTTCTTATTATAAAAAAATATTTTTCTTCCCTTCTAGACTATTTCTCTACTTCTTTATTTGACAACAAAAATAACGAACAAAGAGAAATTTTTGATACTTTGTCCTCTGTCTGTTCTGAGCAACTGGAAGGAGGAACTGGAGAGGTAAGTTTCAACAGTTGTCCAGCTCATCATATTCTTGCGCAGCAAGTTACAAAGATTCTCTTCAAATGGGCTCAGTCCAACAGTTTTCTTCCTTTCAAAATGAAGCAAAGTAAAAAGAGAAGCTACTGAAACACCAAATCAATGCAAACACCACTTGCAGTTAACGTGTAGTCTTTACAATGCTGTGGTATACATGAATTCATCCAATTTCCAGTATTGTCTGACTTTCAGCCCATATGCCCCACTAGCTCCTTGTGTTTTATTGATTTGTAACCCTCTGTGCTCAGCCTCTCTTAGGCAAAATGTGCTGAAGACACCCAGGATTCTGTATGATGAAAAGTAAGACCCAAGTTGAATAGTATCTTTCTTAGCATGCTCACATATGTGTGCAAAATTACATTACATCTGTTCATGCAACCTGTCTTCACTGGTGTGCAATGACTGTGCTGATGGCATGTTTGCTATCCCCCGAATTTATACATCTTTAAGGTGGAGCCCAAAGACTCCTTTAAAGAGGAAAGGCAAAAAGTTGAAGATGAGAACAGAAGTCTGTCTATGTGACTATCAAGTGATGCTGTCTTTCAGTATCTGAAGTCATCCAGGTTACATTCTGAAGTGAGCTGGCCTGATTTGGATAGACTTGCATTTGGAATAGTTAAGGCAAAGTGCATCCCTTTGTTCGTCAGCAGTGAACAGCTATCCAGCAGGACTATCGGGCAAATATCAGTGGTGGGATTAAGTGATGAAAAATGTTGTGGTCCCAACTTTTCCTCGATGGAACTGGTTTTATCTGCTTTTTGACTAAGAGGATAGATTTTTCAGGCCCTGACTTAGACCTGTTTGCTGCAGACATTGTTTGCCTTTATTTTAGTGTGATTTAAGCAAATTCTTTGACCCCAACTGGGCAAACTGTATTCATTCACCTGCTTCTCATGAGCATTTTCAGTTCAGAATAACAGATGGGCCATGAGTCTGGTTTTCAATCATCTGCCTTGAACTTTGAGACCTAGGAGAACGCAGTTTTTCTGGGATTTGTCCAGACCAAAACCAGCAGCTGAGGTGTCAACCTGAGATGCAAATTAGTCAGGAAGGGGTTAGATTCAGAAGCTCAGATCCAGCAACATCTCACAGAAGGGCAGGGTGTTTGGATAGGAGGTTCTCATTATCTGTGCAGTAGCTATGTTTGATAATGGTGTCCAGGGTCATAAACACACGAAAGACTCGGCTTCGCTTACTGTTTTTGCTCTGTCTTTCTCTTGACAACAGGTTTGCTCCAGGTCTTTCCTTTGTGACATACATAGGCAGCAAGGAGGAACGACCCAAACTGCAGCAGAACCTGAAAGAGCAATCTCACTTCCATGCGATCTTGACAACATATGAAGTACGTGATGTCTTTGTCACTTGAAAGGAGGTTTTTTATTGCCTTCTGTACCAGGAAGGTATTGCCTTCACCCAGCTCATGCCTTGTCCTCTGTACTCATCTCTGACCTTCCTCAGTGATTTTCTACTCTGTCACCTATTTCACAAACTGATCTAAGTTGCTGTAGTTTTTATGTCCCTAAGATAATCTAGTTTAACCCCAGCTTTACTGCATAGCTGTATCACACCTTGAGTAAAGAAAACACGCACGTGTCCATCCTTAACTAATGCTAAATGATATCTGCATTGGTTTTGTATGATCCCTTTCAGACCTTTAATAGAAGCATGCGTGTGTGATGTTTATTAAGATTCTATTAATTGGGCAATGCAAGAACACTTAGAAAGAGTTTGCCTTTTTTGTGTCCTCTTCAGCATGCCCTCCTCAGACAAAACTCTCATTCCTGGACTGCAAAATGGCGAGGTTCCTGTTACAACTGATAGGACTTTGGGCTAAATCTGTTCAGAGCTCTTCTGAGAAGGTCCTGTCCTGTTGTAAATGGAACCAACTGCAATAAGGTTGCTTCCTTGGTCACTGCTTTGGACTTCACATGATCTGATGCTTAGTTATCTGGAGCAGGAGAAAGCCCTTATTTTTCTCTTATGAGTCAGTTCCACGCAGGTGTTACTTCATATCAGCACTTTGATTTTATTTTAACAATCTCTTAACAAACACATCAACTTAAAAGTAGATGAAAAACATCTCTTATGGCTCCCTTCTTTTTTTTTTTTTTTTTTTTTTTTTTTCCCCCTTCTGATCTCCCTTTCGCTTTCCCTCTCTTCAAGTATTTTATGGTCTCTTCCCACTGGGCGTTGTGTGACCTGTGCTCACCATTCAGGTATACTGAATCTTTTTCCACATTGCAAAAATGGGAGTGGGTAGCAGTGATAACCCTTGCCCTGAATGTGATAAATGGAGGTGCTCATACTGAAGCAAGTCCAAGAAAGCAATCAACTGTATCAAAATATTCACTTAGCTAGGATTTTTCTTGTCTCTGTTGTTTTTGATGATAAAATTCTGTGCTTTTTTAAGAATTTCTTGAGTGACCTGATTTCCTCTGAATCTGAAGTTGGGCAAACAAAGTCTACACTTTAGAATACTATCAGGTCATTGTGATAGATTAGATTAATCCACTGAAGCCTATGTTTGGTTAGAGTGAAAAAGATTTCGATGCTGAAGGTGCATGGTGTTTCTTACTGAGTGAGAAAGATACGAAAAAATTTACAGAGGTGAAGAGCATTTATGGTGTGTGTAAATTTCCATTAATTCTCTGAGATTCTACTGCTGGTGTTTTGGAAGACGAGTTAAAATGTAGAATCACAACAGCTTTGGTTACAATAGCTGTTGTGCTACGTTCCTCAGGTAATAAGCGGCTTCATTCCACTCCTCTATTCCACCATAGCTTGCAAGTAGACAAAAAGATGTTCTGTTTCTTAACTGGTGTATTAACTTAAGTCATAAATCTTGGTTAATTTCTTTCCATTGCAGATTTGTCTGAAAGATGCAGCATTTCTAAAATTGTGAGTCTGGTTTTAATTTTTTCAAATTTAATTCTGCACGTCTGTCAGCGATTTCTTAAGTGTGTGTTTGTATGTGTGTGTGAGATCCCATGCTTATTTCACAAGAGCCAAGGATGTTCTTTGCTTGTGATTAGAGCTTTGTCTTTACCAGTTTTCAGTGAAGAATCTTTAATGCCAGCTAAGATGTATGGGAGCTTCCCCCAAGGACAGTTTTCAAGCCAGTT